TTAACACCTTGTAGTTCAAAGAGCTTGGTCCAGAAAGAGCTAGTGAAAATGGCATCTCTGTCTGAAACAATTGTCACAGGCATACCATGTAACTTGAACACACCATCAAAAAATGTTTGAGCTATAGTCACTGCTGAGTAAGATTTGGACAGCCCAAAGAAATGTCCATATTTTGAAAAATGATCCACCACTACCAACACAGCCTCCTTCCCATGAGAACTTGGCAAACCCTCAACAAAATCCATAGAAATGTGTTTCCAGGCCTGATCTGGAATGGGAAGTGGCTGTAACAAACCAGGATAAGGAATGTTCTCCACCTTGCATTTCTGACATACATCATACAACATAACATAATTCTTCAAATCAGATTTAAGTCCAGGCCACCAGAAATACCTTTTGATCCTCTGGTAGCTAGCTTGCACTCCAGAATGACCACCCACTGGTGAGTCATGGAATAATCCCAGTAACTGTTGCCTCATAGAACCTGTTGAGCCTACATAGATAGCTGACTTGTGATAGAGCAGCCCATGATGAATCCAGAAGAGCTTAGGACCAATGACTGGAACTGCAGCCTCAACCATGATTTGCTGAACTTCCTGATCTCCAGGATAAGTGGATTCCAGTTCAGAAATCCAAGAGGGAAGTACAGCAGAGATAGGACAACACTCCCCCATTTTTGCCATAGAAGTAGCAAAGTCAGGGTTTCTGGACAAGGCATCAGCTATTTGATTAAACTTGCCCTGCCTATACTGGATTTCAAAATCCAACCCCAAGAGCTTAACCAGCCCTTTCTTTTGAATCTGAGTATGAATCTTCTGCCCAAGTAGATGTTTGAGACTTTCATGGTCTGTGACTATTTTAAATGGTCTGCCTTCCAAGTAATGGCGCCACTTAGTTACTGCTAAAATCACAGCTAGATATTCCTTCTCATAAGTGGATAACCCTTGTTTTCTTGGCCCCAGAGCCTGGCTGTGATAGGCTAATGGCCTACCACCTTGGGATAGAACAGCACCAATGCCACATTCACTTTCATCTGTTTCCAGAACAAAAGGTTGGGAGAAATCTGGGAGAGCCAAAACTGGAGCAGTAACCATTGCTGTTTTGAGAGCTGTGAAAGACTCTTGAGCAGCCTCTGACCATTTGAAACAATCCTTCTTTAACATGTCAGTGAGGGCTTTGCCAATGACCCCATAGTTTTTGATAAATTTCCTGTAGTAACGAGTCAAACCAAGAAAACCACGCAATTCTTTTACAGTCTTAGGGACATGCCAGTTCACCATAGCTTCAATTTTGGCAGGATCAGTGGTCACTCCTTCCTGATTGATGATGTAACCTAGGTAGTCAATCTGTGTTTGGCCAAATGCACACTTAGAGGGTTTGGCATACAAGGAATTGGCCCTGAGTATAGACAAAGCAGCAGCCAGATGCTCCTTGTGACTGTCCTGGTTAGGACTATATATAAAAATGTCATTAAAGAATACCAGAATGAATTTCCTGAGATGAGGGCTGAAAATCCTATTCATAAGTGCTTGGAAGGTTGCAGGTGCATTTGTAAGTCCAAATGGCATAACAGTAAACTCATATAGCCCTTGGTGTGTCCTAAATGCAGTTTTGTGTTGATCAGAAGGATTCATTCTGATCTGATGGTAACCAGACAGCAAATCCAACTTAGTAAAGTACTTGGACCCCCTAAGTTCATCCAACAAATCATCAATCACAAGTATAGGAAACTTATCTTTGATTGTGAGGTCATTGAGCTTCCTGTAATCCACACAAAAACGCCAGGAACCATCTTTTTTAAGCACAAGCAACACAGGTGAGGCATAGGGACTCTGGCTGTGTTGAATGTACTGAGACTCCAGCATCTCCTTTACCAACCTGTCCATCTCATCTTTCTGTGGAATTGAATACCTGTAAGGCCTGAGGTTGACTGGTTGGGAGTTAGGCTGTAAAGGAATCGTATGATCACAGTCCCTTGCAGGTGGAAGACCCTTAGGTTTCCCAAATACATCACTGAACTCCTTTAATACTGACTCTAAGAAAACAGGAGGTTGATCCTTCCAAATACTCATGTCATTCAAGCTAGCCATCTGGTCCTCAACCTGCAAACTGCAAAGCTGCCCCATGAAAACAATCTCAGACTTATCCCACAACTTCTGCAAGCTCTTTCCAGAAATCATCTTACACTGTGCCATATCCTGGATTCCTGATAACACCACTTCCTTACCCTGCCAGTCAAAGAACAGTTTTAAACCAATGAAATCAAACTTAACCGGACTGACAGTCTTCAACCAATCCAATCCCAACACAGCATCATTGGAACCTAGACTCAAGACTCTCATGTCAAACTGGAACGTGTGCCCTTGCATTTCCCAACAGAATCCTTTGCAAACCAAATGACTGAGTAGAACTGTTCCATCTGCTAATTTTACTCTTAGTGGATTGCTGGCTGGAACCAGCTGACAATGTATTTCTCTTGCTTTCCTGTCACTAAGGAAAGTGTGGGTACTCCCTGTGTCTACTAAAATGTAAATCTTTTCACTCTTCACCTTGCCTTGGACTATTAGTGAGCTAGCCATGCCCCAACTGTTCAAGGCCTACATTGAAACCTCCTCCAACTCAGGTGTATCCCCCACCATAGCAGGATCGACCAATTCCTCCTCTTCTGGATTGTGCCATGACTCAGCAATGTCATCCTCGCTCTCAGCTTGCAAACTGTTAAGCTGCTTCTTGGCATCACAAATATGACCAAAGAAGTAACGATCCCCACACTTATAGCACACACCCCTTGTTCCATTGTTCTTCGGGTTCAGCATAGGAGTCTTCACTCCACCAACCGGCTTTGCAGGAGCAACATTATCCCAACGGCGAGGTTGTGAGGAATTGGTGCTAGTGGTAGCCACCATAGGCCGATTGGACAGCCCCTGAGTACTACGCCACTTCTTCTGGCGAGCCAAGTTCGACGCTTCCTCCAACTAAGCAAACTGAAATGCGTCGGCCAGAGTCTGGGGTTTCCACATTTGTAGAACAGGACGCAATTCCTCCTCGAGGCCACTAATAAAGCTGCTGATGAAGTAGATCTCATCAAGAGCAGGGTTGAAACGCGCCATGAGAGAACGAAGCTCCTCGAATTTCTCTTGATACTCAGCTAAGGAACCACGTTGACGGAGCTTATTGAACTCCGCCACCACTCCCCCATACGTTCTATTCCCAAATCGCTGGCACAACGCCGCCACAAATTCCTCCCAAATCAACTCCTGTCGACCAATTTTCCATCCTTCAAACCACAGATCTGCTCGTCGTTGGAAATAGATCACTGCCAGATTAACCTTCTGATCGGAAGGGATACCATAGATATCGAACAATTTCTCGCATTTCCGCGTCCATTCACGAGGATCATCGCCATTAAAGGGTGGAAAGTCAAGACGAGGAAGCTGATGAAACTGATTGGGATTACCTGGACCGTGAATCGGAATTTGATCACGCTCCGCCACTGGATTGATCGGAACGTGAACCCTGGGCGCCTGCACCAAAATAGGTTCAGCACCTCTGAAACCTTGATGAGGTAAAGGCAGAATGCCCCGAGCATTTCTGTCAAGCAGCGGCGCCACCGCCCCAGCCACGGCGCCCGCCGGTCGAGGAACCATCACTTGCAACATATTTCGAATTTCATGTGTGAATTGGCCAAAACGATCGTCGAGACGCGCATCCTTCTCCGCGAAACGAGTCGCAGAACTCGTCTCCATCTCTGCGAAATGCGTTGCTGAGTTCGCCTCCATCGAATCTAAACGAGTCGTCAAAGTAAAAAATTGCTGTGAATGACCTTCAGAACGAGTCTGGAGCTCCTAGAACTGAGCCGCCTGAGAAGATACCAAGCCCTGAACGTTGGTGAGTCGGTCATCGAAATCCACTTGCGCCTGATTCGTCAACGCCAGTAAAGCAGTAAGTCGCTCGTCGATTGTACCTCTGGTGCTCGTCATGGTAAGAAGAAAACGCCAAGACAGTGCTCTGATACCACCTTGTCACCACTAGAAGGATCGATTGTCTCGGCAATGGAAGATTAGAGGAAAGAAGAAGGGAATTTCAGAGAGAATCAGAGAAGAGAAGAGGGAACTCGGGAAGAGAGAGAAAGGAGAGAGATAAGAGAGGGAAGAGTAAAGTTGTTATTAGCTGAAAAGTAGTTACAACGGCTCTCGCGGGTCTCTTTTATACAGAGTTGGCAATTGTCTATTTTAGTCCTTCAACTTCTATTCCTATCTCATTACATCCGTCGGTTACACTACTGCTTTTTCCTGGTGGCGATTGGAGGCTCTTCTCTGGCTGGTGGCTCGGTTGCCAAAACCTCTTCCACACTCGGCTGCTCTGCTCGTCTCTCACCATCGCCGTTCGCAGCCTCCTCCGTGACTGCCGAACCGTCATTTGCAGTCACCTTTGTCAGATCCGCCGATGCCGATTCTGCACGGATGTTGGTCGCGCGGCGGCGTGCCGCGATTTTCTCGAGTTTGGCTAGAATGCCTGCCATCGTATTGTTGTAGTGAGCTTTCCTGTTAGCTTCCTATTTTGCTAGGCTGGCTTCAAGGGCTTCAATCCCTTGATAGAAGTTCTGATAACAATTCCCTGGTGAGAGTTGTGATGAACTCAGATTCGTGACCATGACTCTGATACCAAATGATAGAACCTGGGATTAGGGTTCTATCGGGAATTGGGATTTGTGGAGTAAGAACAGAATTAGGGATTTGAGAAGAGAAAGATAGAGAATCGGCCTAGGCCTTTAGAGGGATTGAGATCTAGAACTGAGAAGATTGGGAGATTAGGGTTAAGGAGAGTTTTCTTAATATTCATCTTGACTGATCCTGAATAAAAACGCTAAATACATATTTATAACGAAAGAGTCGAAAAATCTAATAGACTATCCTAATATGACTCAATGACTACTATCATATCTAATAATATTCTAATTATAGTAATAATAATTATTATGATAAATCCCAAGAATTAGGTTTCCATCAGGCCACCATCCAGTTTGTTATCAAATCAAAGCTCGCTATCTGATTTGGACTGCATAACAGCATAAAGAAAAGACAGACGAGAAGGCAAGAGTCCATTTACTGCATAGTTACAGCAGCCAACGCATCATCCTTTTACTTACAGTATTGTATAAATCTTTAAGGTCTGTGTGCTCCATACGCCCAAAACAAAACATCCGAAATGACAGACTTTAGTTTAAGCATCAACTTAACGACTAGATACAGAGGGGTAACTAAGCCAGAAAATTATGAAAATACACACAAAAAAGCCTCTATGCAAATTGCAATGCTATTTACACCGTCAGGATATATTTGATACAATTATATATGGGAGTACCATCTGATTGGTGGGGAGCGCTTGCACGCTGTTCCACAGTAGTCTTTGTATAGAGAATGCTGTGCCTGGAGAACCATCCTCGCCAAAATGAATACAGCTAAACTAGTGGGCAAACCCAAACTCAAGCCGGGGCATTACAACGAACGACATATATTTACTTATACCGGAGAGCCTGATATTGCTTTTTACAGTTTACTAATATCACAGAAACAACCACCATGGTATGGTAACTTGTTCAGCAAGTCATGCTCAAGAATCACTCCAGCTATCATCATCGTCTTCATCGCTCCCAGCAAATGCCTATTAACCCCAGATCAATCCTCATTAGTGTGCACATTGGAAAAGCTTTAATATCATTTAAACTAGAAAACATTTTGTAACTCCCAAATAAAACCCCAAATGTTATGTAGAGACTCATGAATCTATGGAGAGGGGGAGAGAACCTGGCGGATAGCATTTGCTTTCTCCAAGATAGCAGCAACTCTCAAATTGGTTTTGGGACCATGAATTCCGGGCATGCTAGGACGCATACTAGGCCTACTCACTGCCGTGGGCTTCAAGTTAAACGACTGCAGATAGACCAAATATGAGAAACCAATTCAGCACAAATAACAGGAACAGGATTTTGGCAAGGGACAAGTGGTAAGGAAACAAACCTTTGTCCGGATCTGTTCCAGTAGTGAATCCCTTTCTTCTGCATTTGCGCTAACCTGTGGCTGAACTCTTTCAGCTGCCTTCCTCAACTGCAGAATATGCCCACAAATATTAAACGTCAGGAAAAAAGGCAGGGACTGTAGTCTGCAACAGTATTTGCCAAAGTCAGGTCCATAACTGAAATTTTACCTTGCTTTTATCAATTGCAGCAACAGCATCAATAAGAGGATTCCTAGGGCGAGGAAGCTTGCTGCCGTTTGCTGCCTTTCCGACTTCATAGGATGGTGGCAGGGCTAATGTTGTTGGAGGCCACGATGTTCCTCCTCCATAAGATGTAACCATTTTTTGCTCTAGTTGCTCCTTTGCCACAGATTCCTCAGGAGCCTCCTCCAACGATTCCCTTTCTGGGTTTACTAGACCTGGTTCGGCTACTAATCCATTGAAGCTACCTTCTCCATGATCCTGAGAAGAGGACACAAGATCAGCTTCTGGAGGTGTATTGGCCATGGATGGTGCAGATTGGAAGGACTCTGGACTATAGTGCTTCGATTCTCCTGATGGAAGGTCACTGAGCTCAGGTCCCTCATTTGATATTTCTTCCGAGGTAACAAATGGGTTTGAAGGATCCAGTTCTTCCAATGGGTGTGATTCCTGTTTCAGATTCGCAGCATTAGCAACTGATGACAATTCAGCTGACAAGGAATTTGGCTGCTTCAAGGTATCTTCTATTGAATCATCCATAGGTGAACAGGGAACCATCTGACTATCCTCAATAATGTTGCTTGGGAATGTGTGTGAAGGCTGATATGAATATTGTTCAATATTTGCAGCATTAGCAACTGATGCCAATTCAAATGATGAGTGATTTAGCTGCTGCAAGGAATTCTGCATTGAATCATCCATGGGTAAGCAAGCAGCCGTCTGACCATCTTCAATAATGTTAGTTGGGAATGGGCCTGAAGGCCCGGTGTGCTCCTCAGCTGCAAAAGGTTGCATTGGTAGATTATTGAAGTGGCCAAACCATGCAGTCTGCGAAGAAGGTGAAGCAGGCTGAAACTTTCCCATTCTCCATTGCATAGGAGGTAAAGGTGGCAAAGGGGGAGCCTCATCTACATTCACTTCTTTACCAGTGGAGAGAGTGCCCAGTCCAGGAGGCAAAGTATGCACATCTTTGAATTGAAGATTTGATGAGGTAGAGCCTCCTGCCTTATCTTGTTCTGGACAACTCTCATCAGTTTGATCAGGATGCAAATCCCATGCCTGCTCAGAAGGAATTCCCGGCTCAGGGAGACCATTTACATGGAAACAACTATCACCTTCAGATGCCTCTTTTGAAATATAGAGAGCTTGCAATTCCAACACACTGTGATTTACTCCTGAAACTTCTTCTCTACTGGCATCACCTACACCAAAACTCGCTTGTTTTCCAACAGGGTCTGCATAATAAACACGAGCCATTGCATCTGCTTCAGATGGGTAAGCGAAGATGGATTCACCTTGACTAAATTCTTTATCTTTCATAATGACTTCATTTTGCGTCTCCGGTTCAGTTTCTGAGGAAATATCCTGATGAAGGTCCACTGGTGTCTGATGTTGGTCATCAGATGATGGATGGCTAGATGGAGAACCAATCACATTTGACAATGTACAAAGAGTGTCGTCTCCATGCACATCACTAGCAAATATATCATTTGGCTGATCAGCCTCGGTTAGAGTGCTGTTCAAGTCAGTCAGATCCCGTAGACCAGATTCATCAATACATTCATAAGAATCTTCTGCAACAATGCCACCTGCATTAGCTTCACTTGACATTTCCTCCTTGTCTGAAACAACAGAAATATCTTCTTTAAGATTTTTTGTTTCCAGCTCAGCATTTGGAAGGCCTGCTTGAGCGGACTGCATACCAGATAGTAAGGTGGCCTTTATGAGTGCATCTTTGACATTGTTGACTTCTGTTGCTTCTTCAACCATGTTATCAAGTTCAGATGGCAACTGATGAGGGATCACATTTCCAGCAGCATAACCTGAGTAATTAATTTTTGACATGTCATGTAAGGGATCGTCTTGGCTGCTCTGTACAGAATTTAGATATGACAAATAGGAAGGCAAAGCTTTAGGATCTTCCTGCTGCTGGTCACTCGTGGAATTACCTTCAGAAGGACCTATCGAAGGAGCAACCTGCTTCGTATGCCATGGGATTTCAGATGAACCCACAGAAGAAATCTCTAGATTTCCGATGATGGTTTCAAGTTCTAACCCAGGAGTAGCAACTCCATCTACCTGTGTTCTTTTACCTGAATCTTCTCCTACAGACTCCGTGAAAGGATTTGCAACAGAAAAAGTTGGCACTAACTTGTCGATTTTCTCTTCCTCAGAACACATATCAGTCGAGACCTCAAGCTCTTGGGATTCTTGAATTGTGCAAGGCACTATATGAGGAGAGGAAGAGTCTGACTGCAACGTGGAAGTCTCCGCGATACTATCTTCCCTAGAACGGCAAACTTTCGACGGCCCTTCCCCATCAGATTGTACATTCTCAGCCGCATGGCTCAGGGAGTCGGATACTGAAATACTAGACCCTCCTTTGTATATTGAACTGTTTCCATCGTCAGACGCTGAGGAATTTCCGAACGACTGAGAATTCAGAAACTTCACTTGAATGCCATGCCGTCTTTCCTCATTTGTATCAGATTCCGCCTCACGTCTCACAAACTTTAAGACGCCATCTTTCTTAGATTTGTATTCAGTATCGGTCTCTATTTCTGACTCCATGGTTGTGAGAGCATCCAGGTAGTTTTCTACCTCACTGATCATATCGTCAGATTGGTCCCCTTCAGAACTATCACTTCTCCTACCACCTGCATAAATAGCTAATTCCTCTCCAATTGGCATCTTGTGAACAGAAGAAGGAGATGATTCGTCGGTTTCACAATCAGTGACGGTATCAGAGACCTTCACCATCTGTTTATCAGTATCCTCCCCATTCAACTCATCATGTTGTAGTAGATCAACCTGGGCCTCCGGTGAGAAACGTATGCTTCCCTTATCTGGAGATGACTGCTTCACAGGACTAACAGCTGTAATCTCCACAATCTCAAGTCCTGATCCTTTGTAGCCATCCTGTGTTAAAGTCGAGAGTGGTGGATTAACAGAATCTTCATACACTGCTTTGTTATCTGGTGAAAGAGTGTCCAGGAATTTCTGCATGTAGCTTTTCCCGGATTTCATATCTAATGGAGATCCAGTTAACTGCCTTCTTTTCAAGTTTACTACACGAGCTGGATCAGAATGTCCATTTGCAACACGCTCTTCCAGGAACAGCTGATGTAATCTGCAGTAAATTGCAAGAATAATAAAGCACAGAACAAGCAAGGTATTCACACACTCAAGCAGTTACATAAGATACACAAAATAAATATATAGCTCCCACTTGGCATGTGATGTTGGTGTAACTTCGGGAGTTTCTCCATTCCTCCACCGCCCTTTCTTCTGCAAGATAGCAGACCAGATTAATTAAATCAAGCATCATTCAGATACAGGACCACCTAACACCAGGATCGTTCAAAGGCTCAATCCTTAAGATGTAGTGAAGAAACTAAGGGCCCTAATGATCCCCATACCTTCACTTTTCGAGCTTTCTTCTCTCTCTGCATTTCCATTGTAGTAGATGATATTGCGTCAATTTTAAAGATTGAGGGATCAGTGTAACGCTTCAAACATGCACCTGCCCCTGCAACATCGAATCTGCAGGCACCCCAGCCATACAATATATCAGATCTCCCCCACAAACTAATGCAACTGTAGGCTCCCATTAAACATTTGCAAAGGAAGGAAATATCAGAATACCATACTTATCCAATAAAAATAGCCTTGGAGGACCCCTGCATTCCTCATAAGAATCCATTACAAAGCGGGGCAAGTCTCCTTGAGTAATCAGATTTTGTTCCATGTGCAGATTAGGATGCCAATCGACACCTGCTGCTAAATGGGTAATGGCAAAGGTTAAGCATTTTCCAGTCACGGATCCAAAGCAAACTCTATAATTAACACACCTATGGGTGAACAATATCAACGCTTGAAAAGTTTTTCTTATGAGAATTGATAATTAGGAAAGAGCTAGAACCCTAAATTTAAGAAAGTCCGCAGATAGATATCTAACCTCCATTTGCATAGAACGACGAGTGGTCAGTTTGAGACAGAAATGCCTTCTCAACTGAAGGAACTTCTGCCTCGAGCTGTTGAACACGAGCCATTAGACTGTGACCTCTTGCGGCAGTTGTCATTACTTCTTCATGCAAGTGATGAAATATCTCAGCGGCAAACCTTCAAACACATCCAACAAGCCCAAATATAAGGACCACCGCAGAGAGAGCCGAGGACAAATTAAATGAGCCAAGAACTACAACTTCGATGGTAAGGGGAATCAATTGAACTCCACCGGCAAACTCAAACCTCAAAATGTACCAAACCAGCCAACAAACTTAAGGAAGTCAAGCTTTCATCAGCATAACAACAAAATCGGAGGGGAAATGAGCCACAATTGAAGAAGCATTGACCAAAACGACCCAAAATTCAAGCTCAAACAAACCGAATCTGCAAGCGAGAATGTAAGAAGAATCCACCAAAAGAAGAGAGGACTGACTCAGCAAGGTCACCGAGCTGCCGCAATACACCAACGAGGCCAGCCATGGCGACGCCCTCCAATAGAGCCTCGGGATCATCTCTGTCTGCAGCTTTGTACAACTCCGGATCGGCCAAACCATACTCGTTCCTTATCTGGTACCTCGTCAACGGCATTCTTTACCAACCGCCGCCTAGCTCTGCTGCTCGGAAAACTGGAAAGAAGCAAGCAAATCTTTCTCTGCAATTCCCGGGATGGTTATTCGATTTATTGCCCGCCGGCGCGACCCTTGAAGAGAAGAGGAAGAAGAACCGGCAGGGTAAAGGGGGAGAACAGAGGGGAGGAGTGGGGAAGGAGAGGGATTATTTTGGTTTACTTCTTTTGTTATTTTTTTTTTCTTTTTTTTTCTTCGGGTGTTTGTTTGGGAAGTGAAATGAATGAATGTGCACAGAGCAGACGTGGAGAGAGTGACACGAGCAAGTGAGACAGTTTTCATTACACAAAAATATATATCTTTTAAGGTTAAGTAGAGGACGTTTATTCTCTCTCTCTTTTCTTTTTTTCAACATATATTTTCCTATTAATTGAGGGGTATCATTTTTTTTAACGTCTTAAATTTGGGTGTTGAATTTCACTAGACCAGCCCTTTTGGATAGTCCTCTAGTTGGATTCCATGACACAACGTTACAGCTTTCAACAACATCGAAAGAACCATCACATCAATATTCAATATATCATATATGCTAGTTTTGTGCTTGGGTTTTATAATCTCCTCTACTTAAATTGGTTTGTAAGGATTTCTCATATTTACATAGAGGTATATCTTAAAGCTTATTGTTTGATTGATATAGGTTTATTCGTGCTCTTTGATTTTGTTAAGTGGCTCGCGTTTCTAATAAAAAAAATGAAAACAATGTGTACCCAAATATTGAAGTAGTAATTGACAAAAAAAAAATATTAAGGAGATTAGTAGTGCAGAATATGAAATTCACATATACGATATGCATTAACAAAAAACAATATTAAAATTTTTCATAATTCATTATTTTTTATACACTAATAATACAAAATTTGAGTGCTTGATGTAAAATAAATTATAATGAAAAACAATCTCATTTTGTTTATGTGAGATTATGGAAAATAATTATCACAAAATAATTATGGAAAATAACTACATTCTTAACCTTTATATATTTTAATTTTATATTAAAAAGATATAAAAGTGATATTTTTTTCAATCAAAAGTAATATGACTTATTTACATATGTGTAACAATAATTATCACAAAAATTAAACAATGTAAAATATAATACACCAACTATTTTAAATACATGTATCTATAGCAAAAACTAACACTTACTAAATTGAAAATAATTGTATATGATATGTTATATAATCAAAATTTTCTTTAATAATTTGGAACGCCTTTTTCCACAATTTAGGCGAGGGTGGGTTGCGAGTTGCGACGCAACGGAAGGCGAGGTTAGGTCGGGCGGCGCGCATCCTGTGGCGCTTATGGTGGGGCTGCCTACATTGGATCGTGTTAATTCCTTGCGCCACGCGACCCGATGGATCATGGGGGGAGAGGTGGATTCGGGTGCAGCGTAGACCACCTTCCACACTTTTGCTGCTCGTGAAAGTGTAGTAATATGTCAGTGACTCGGGACTCGGAATTGTGACTTGTGAGGGATCATAATTATGAAGAGACGACCCTTTTTAGGATTTTATAGCTTCTATGTTAAGCAAAGGAGTCCATGCTTTTATTTTTTAATTGTTATTTGGGAATGCTCCTCACATAATAATCACTCCATGTGTTTAATTATGTGGTTTATGCTTCCAACAAAAAATTATGTAGTCAGGGTACTGCGATGAGTGATGGCAATGAAGCCGTCGGTATATCAATACTAATACTCATCAAGTCATCATGCATTAAGGGTTGGTTTGGAAAACAGTATTCAGGACATGGATTCATTGAATCCGTATATTTTGTAGAAAGTTATGTTTTTTTTGTTACTTTTTGTATTGTGGATATCAAATCTCTCATAATCAGAGAGATTCTATATCTTGATTTGTGAGATTTTTTCTCTCCTAATTTTTCTCTTCCTTTTATTTATTTATCACATGAAATATATTTATCAACAAAGTTTTTTATATTTCTCGAACCACTCTAATTTTTTTATTAAGGATAAACATATTATTTAATATAAAATGAATTTTTTTTTATTTTACTTGATTGTTAACAATCACAGTTACCAAACAATAAACATTTTAAAATCTGTTTTCAACAATCCGAAGAGTTAGAATCTTTAGATTGTTGATAATCTGTAGATTTAAACTCATATTCTCCAAACGACCCCTAAGTGTGGTTGGGTTGGGTAATTCGATCCACCCAACATTATTATATGTTATTTAAAAAAATTTGATATTTAACTCTTTTACAATAAGACATATATATAGTAGAAGGAACAATGAAGTATAAAATAGTTGGAAAATATAGTTTTAAAATTTATTTGGGATGAAATTATGATTTTAGAAAGGTCAAAAGAGGAGACATACATGTAGATATTGATGAAGATAATAAAAGAATGAGCTGAGAACAAGTCGGGATGGGCACGGGGTAGGTCTGAAGCAAAAAACATGCCCTGTCCACACTAGTGCGCATCAGGTAATACCTTCCACAAACATGTTGGGTGGGTAGGGTCAGAAATTGCCACCACTAATTGCAATTTTATAATTTTTTTGGGTAATTCAATAAAATATACTCATCTTTTTCAAAATTTTCATTTATATTACATACTTTTCAATATGACAATTGTGTACCAAAATTTTGTTCCCGTTAAAATTTTCGTTAGAGGTTAAGAGAAAACACAATCACCGATGAAATGGTTGTTGGCGTGGAAATTTGTTTAAAAAAATTTAAGAAAAAGAAGACAAAATAAAATAGGAAAACAACCCCAACCCTTTTAATCCTTTTCTCCCTTTCTGCATCTTCTGTCGCCCCTTATTTCTCCGAATATGTGTTAGAAACACGTTTTCTAAGGAAAACGAGTTTCTATATTATCATTATTATTAGGATATTTCTTATTATGGTTAGTAGTCTTCTACTAGAATTAGGGTTTTCTAGTATTTCCCTATATATATGTGTTTTGGGTCATTCGTCATATTAAGCAGAAATTAATAGAAAAGTTATCCTTCCCCAAAACCCTAATCTCTTTCTCTCTCAAATCTCGTCTATCCTCCTCTCTACTAGAGGCCTCGGCCGTTCTTTCTGTTCTTCCCCAATTCTGTTCCTAATCGCTAATTCTCTTCTAAATCCCTAAATCTCTACCAATTCCCAATTTCCCAACACAATCGTTGGAACCCTAAAAATAGGTTTCCTACATCTGGTATCAGAGCCCGGTTTCGAGAATTGAGTTCACCACAACTCTCAACCAGGGACGAGTTCTACAACTGGTTCGACGATGAGCTCTTCAAAGCTCTCGAACCTGTCGTGGGCAGAGCTGCGTGACCGGGCTCGCCGCATCGGACGCCGTTGGAGCTCCGAAGAGTCGCCGACCGTGCAAGCAGAGACGGTGACCCGAGTAGCCGACAGCGAGCGTCCACCACCGCCGGCCGGGGCCGACCCGTGTGATGGCGAGCGGCGAACCGAGCAGCGCGCCGCGGTAGTTGACGCCGGCGAGAAGCGCGCAACCAGCGAACCAGCGCCACCTCCCACTACGCCTGCACCGACAGATTTCCCAATACCGCCTGCCGCTGCCACACTTCCAACAGCTGGCGCGGACGCGGAATCATCGCCGGCACCAAAGATCCCAATTTCCTCGGTCAGGACGGAAGAGTCCAGCGCTAAGAAGGCTGCATCGAAGCTGAAATTGGAGGAGACAGGATCAGACCCGAGACGGGACGTGATCGACTGGGAGATGGTGGAAGATCCACCGCCGAAGCCGGGTCTTGAGAATACGAAGCCGAGTCTAGAGGTGCGACGGCCACCGTGTCGTCTGGTGGGTTATTTGCGGCGGGAAAATGACAAGCAGCAGCAGTCGCCAGCAAAGGAGAATAAAGAGGAGAAGGAGATCGGCGTCGAGGAGCTGCGAGCTGCGAGAATCGGAAGATGGGCATCGTTCGTGGCGTTGGCGAAGAGCTGCGCCAAGGAAGAGGATCGTACGGCTGAGAGTCCAGCCAAACGGCAACAGCATGTGGCGGCCGCGACAGAGGTCGTCTCCAGCGACCTCACACCAAAGATGGAGGCGTTGGGCAAAGAGGAACCGCCAGCCTCTATGGTTGCGGTGTTGAAGACAATCCAGGTCATCGACAAGGCGGGAAGGGCGACACGGAGGTCAACGCCGGATTGCTTGAATAACTGGAGGAATCGAAGGAAGAAACGAAGGGGAGGCACGGGAAGCAAAGCAAGGACAACACCGCACAACAGGCTTGTCTCGCTGTGGTCGCAAATCGCGCGACCTGCTTCCTTCGAAGAGAAGACGGAGAGGAAGATGAAGGATGGCTTGCCAACACCGCCAATCGAGCAAGTAGCTCGGCGATCGGCTGCGGGTCTTCGTCGTGGTGACTGCCGTTCGTTGGGGAAGTCGCCAAAGAAGAAGGAGGAGGTCGCGACTAATGAAGCATCGCCGAAGAACAGTGAGAAGCAGGCGCCGCCGAAAAGGAAAACCCCGCCAAGGAAGCAGACGCCGGAGGCGGTCGTGGCGGAGATGCGGCGGCTAGGAAGGTCTTGCCGCCGACGAGTGGCACCTGTGCCACGGGAGAAGGAAACGCAGAGGGAGGAGGCGAGGAAGAAGGACGGCGGCGGCAGCTTCCCATCTCCAGCAACCCTAGGTCGCGCCACCAAGCGGCCTGAACCATTGGGCCGAGTTGTGGTTCGAGTCGTTTGGCTCGAGTTGGCCGAATTGGTTCAGCAAGGCGGGCCGAATTTTGTACGGAGACGGGCCTCACAAGGGACAGAGCTAAGTATCGGGCTCGTATTTGGAGGGGTGGATTTTGCTGGGCTCGAGTTGGGCAGATTATATTAGCAGAGCAAACTAATTCAGGCCAACAGTTTTAATGGGTTGGGAGGAGTGGATTGTTTGGGTCACGGGCTGGCAATGGGAAAGGACATGGTGGGCTTGGCAAGGCGAGATGGGCCAGGTCAACTGAATCCCCCAATGGACAAAGGCTATTTAAGTTTTGGGCATGGGCTGGTTTGTCAAGAGAAGCTCTTCGAATACAGACTTGGGCCGCGTTTGGAGGAAGAAAATAAGCCACACTTGGGCTATGTGTTGAGGGAAACAGGCTTAGATGGAGTTCTTGGGTTAGTAAGTGGGCTTTCAAATGACCCAAGCCGAAATGAAGAAAAACTCTATGATTCTTATATTGTGGAGTTTGAAAAGGATGATGGAGGGATATTTGATC